TGGAGTGGGATGGTCCCTTTCAGCAGAATCATTTCGAACACGCCAAGGGATCTTGATGCAACTGGCTTGGAGCCAGTGACATCAAGTCAATGGGCCACATAAACACCAAGGTGGCTCAAACACAGCTTAAGGCACTGTAAGGCCAGAACGGGGGGCCCCACTCGGGGAGAGAGCAGCCGCCCTGCGGCGCCGCCTCCGCCGCGGCAGAGCGAGGCTGTTTGCCCGAGCGCTGAGGGCGCTCCCTCGGTCCAGCCACCGGGCATTGTTAACGCCACAGTCAGGGTCTGGGAAAAGCTTTCACAGCCGCTGGGACCGCCCGGGCACCATGAACCTAGAGAGATCAGAGTGGCATGGGGACGCTTCGAAGAAACCCTTATTAATCTTTGGGGAGACCCAGCGCAGGCCAGGCCAAGCTCAGGGAGACTGCCGCAGTATCCTGGGGTGACCGCTCCTCTGTATCCTTTGCTTGCAGATCAACAGAAAACCACAGTGATTGAAAACGGGGAAATCAGATTCAATGGAAAAGGGAAAAAGATTCGGAAGCCTCGGACCATTTATTCCAGCCTGCAGCTCCAGGCTTTAAACCATCGCTTTCAGCAGACTCAGTACCTGGCCCTTCCTGAGAGAGCTGAACTGGCAGCTTCCTTAGGACTGACACAAACACAGGTAAATCCCGAGAAGCCCGAATATCCCTGAAATGCTGACCCCGATTACAGATCGGGCAGGGAGCACATCAGAAGGAATTTTTGGCCTAGTCAACCAAGGATGGAAGGAGATTAATGACAAATGCCTTTGCACCAGTTAAGCACTTTTCCAGGACAACACTGTTTGGAATAAATGACCTGGTATTGAATACTGGATTGGATTTGCACATCCTCCCAACCCTCGGCGACCCCACCTCAGTCTAGTGTCCTTTGGTAACCAAAGTCATCATTTAATCAAGTCCTATTTCAGAACAGAACAACATGAAAGAGAAAGAGAAAAAGATATTCAGGCCAGGAGGCAGAATAAGACCCATATTTTTTAAGGGATATTTTATGGGGCCTGAGACTTAATAAGGGTCTCAACTCGTTGACAGAAAGAAAGAATTATTAAGCACATGGGGTGGGGGCAGATAGGCATAGCTCCAAAAAAATTTTAGTAAAGGGACCAAGGTGCCAACTATTCATCCTAGAATAGGTGAGGTAAGTTTTTCTGAAGATTGCCCTAAGCTCAGTGGTTAAATCATCCTGGCTGACTGGCTGGTGCAGGCTGAGGTACCTCCCTGGAGCTCAGGACTTGGGAGCAATGGCAGAGTTGGAGATCAAAGAGAAATGCTCCCCAAATTACAGCAGGTGAAGCCTCAGTTAAGTACAGTTGCTGAAGTTCTGCTGTCCTACTAATTTGAAAGACATATGGGGCCTTTCAGCCTTCACAGGAAGGGGCTTAGGCAGGTATATTAAGACCCTGGTCATAAAGCCAGGCTGCAATCACCTGTGGTTTTTGTCCTTTTGATTAACTTAGCTGCATGGGGTAGTAGGCCTCATGTGAGGTGGGTGATCTTCAGCAAAGGGACTTCAGGTTTTATGGGGCTCTTACTGGAGAATGATTGTGTGGTGCCTTAGAACAGATGCTCCTAAGGTCTTCTTTTCAATCTAGCCTACTTTCTCTTGCCATATTGCCACTGGAGATATTTGGGGCTTGATGCGAAGGGATTCCTGCTACTCAGTAACTTGTATTCTTGGAAAATCAGATTCCTAGGGCTAAGGAATTTTAAAGGTAAAGGAAACATACGGTAGAATTTCTTTCTTTAAATAAAGTAGAGCTGGTATGTTATCTTAGTCCCATCCCACATTCTTGATTCCCACTTAATTTTCAGGAGTCCTTTGACTTTAAGTGACCATGCTAACGATCATGTGATGACTGTTGACCACAATTTGACTAAGCAACATACAAAGTAGGGAATGAGAAGGTACAATCCCTAATCTCTGCAGGATCATAGGATATATTTATGTAGGAAGAAAGATACCCCATGTACAGTCTATGGCATGTGCAGTTTTGCATGGAGATATTCAAGGCATTTGGTTATAAATTGAACAGGTTTTAATCTGTTCATAGCCATTTGCTCACTGTACATGCATAAAGATATCAGGTTTGGGGTTGGTAAATATTTTTTAAAACAGACTGTCAGAGGAAGTACATGCAGTTGACTTTGATCCAAAAAGTTCTCAGTTTAAAAATCCTTCTTTAGACTTTGAACCTGACTATCTCATTCACCTTTATTCTTATTTTTATTTATGCTGCTGTTTCAAACCTAAGTTTGCATCCAACTAAAGAGTTACAATGTCTTTAGGTATCCAGACAAGATACCTAGTAAATGGGGTGCCGGGGGAGAAGGAGGAGGCTAGAAAGAGGTGGAGGAAAATGGGGACTTGAGGGCTTGGAATTTGTGGGGTTGATTTTATTATTATTATTACTATTATTATTATTGTTATCATCATCATCATCATCATCATCATCATCATTATTTTAAATTACTGTTTCCAAAACCTAAACTTAAGGTACCAGATGGATGTGTTTTTGGGCCTACTGATCGCTGTCGCGTTTTGTTCCAGGTGAAGATATGGTTTCAGAACAAACGCTCTAAGTTTAAGAAACTGCTGAAGCAGGGCAGTAACCCGCATGAGAGTGACCCTCTCCCGGGCTCAGCGGCCCTGTCGCCGCGCTCGCCGGCGCTGCCTCCAGTGTGGGACGTTTCTGCCTCGGCTAAGGGCGTCAGTATGCCCCCCAACAGCTACATGCCCGGCTATTCGCATTGGTACTCCTCGCCACACCAGGACACGATGCAGAGACCACAGATGATGTGAGTTGTCCGAGGGAAATCGATACCCTAGGGAAACGTCTGAACAAGGCAAGGAGGATCCGGGACCTGCTTGCAGCTGCCAAGCCGAGCCCAAGGAGCAGGCTCGGGAGAACTCTTCTGTGTGGCCAGACCGTCTGGGCACTCTCTCTCCCTCCCCCTAACCCTCTCCCTCTGGCTCTTTCTCTGTCTCTCCCCTTTCTTTTCCCCTCTCCTCCCTTCTTTCCCACCTTTCTTTTCTTTCTTTTCTTTTTTTCTTTTCTTTCCTCATCTGCCTTTTCCCCTGAACAGCCTCTTAATTGATCTTCATCTTAGGGAGGGGCAGGGGAGAGAAAAAGGGAGGAGAGGCTGGTTACTATGCCAGCGCCCCTGAATCCCCTCACTGTAAGGATATTTTCCCTTATCCCTTGGGATCCAGGCTCTGAGCCTCTTCTTCTCTTTGGGAATATCCATCAAAACAACTTTTTTCACAGACATTTTCCCCCCACCAGAAGAATCTGTGCAAACATGGCAGCGTTTTTACTTGTTTAATGAGCTTAAGACATTACATGATGAAAGAGAAGCATTTCAGACTCCTTCATTTTTATTTACAAATCCCAGACTGATTAAAAAAAAAAAAAGAAGAAGAATGAATGAATGAATGAATGAAAGGAGGAAGCATCAAAAGAAAGAGAAAAAGAAAAACCCTTACAGAACAGCCATTCTCTGAAGAAAAAGAAAAAATTGGCTGTAAGATTAGAACGTTGCCACAAAGGGAACGCTGCATGTTTTATCAAAATGCAATGAGCAAGAATGATGATTTCAAAACAAAACACA